CCCCCCCCCCCCCCCCCCCCCCCCCAAGGATTTCAACTCTGGCCGATCTCCTGCACGCAGAGAGGGTTCCGCCTAACTAAGGCATCCAGGCCACTTGAGGTGTTTGAAGTTCCTGCCAGGGTCTTCTGCTGAACCGCCAGGGACCAGTGAGGCCGATGTCCTCCATTTTGCAACCCAGGTCTCCCGCAGAGAGCAAAGACGGCACTCCCCACTTCCTCCCTCCCCCCCCTCCCCCAAGCAGGAAACCTAAAAGCCTGAGCGCCCTTCGGCCCACACCTGTCGCCTCCTGGCTCCTGTTTGTTCCACTTGACGTCACCTTCCTCCCCATTTGCGGTGAGCTGAAATGAATCATCCCCCTGGCAACCAGGACTTCTTGGCCGTAACAGGAGGAGACGGGATTCGGGTCAGCACTTCAGCCACCCTCAGTTAGGTCACATGCAGCTTTACATGCTCCGAAAGTGGGGGCGAGTTCAGAGAGGGGTCCCCGTCCTTCTGGAGGACGCCAAGCACATATATGTACATATATATATATTTTAGTCCGGCAACATGTGTCTCTGCAAGAGGCTGGCCTTCTCTTAGCTCCACGTTTGGGAGCAAAGCAGAGTTAGAGCTTGTGGATCTGCGGAGATAAAGAAGGAATTTCAGAGACGAAACACTACTCCTCACTACCACTGATGAGGTTACCTAGTTTGGTAATGAAATGTCTGCAAGAAAACATCCATGTTCACATAGTGCCAAGGACTCCCCCAATCATCATCTCCTCCTCCTCCTCCTCCCTTTTCTTCCTTCCTCCTCCTCCTCCTCCTCCTCCTCCTCCTCCTCCCTAGTTTGTAATGAAATGTCTGCAAGAAAACATCCATGTTCACCGAGCGCCAAGAACCCCACCATCCTCCTGGACAACTAACCTGGAACTAAGGAGACATTTCCTGACCGTGAGAACAAGCAGCCAGCGGAAGAGAAGTTGCCTTCAGAAGTGGTGGGAGCTTCATCGCTGGAAGCTTCCAAGAAGAGACTGTCAGAAATGGTGTAGGGTCTCCTGCTTGGGCAGAGGGGGAGTGGTTAGACTAGATGACCTATAAGGTCCCTTCCAACTCTGTTAATCTGCAAAGGCTAGAAAAAGGGATTTTATTTTATTTTATTTTATTAGGGAGCGTTTGATTGCTGCACCCAAATGCCTTCTAGGGGCGGGTGAGGAATGAGGTCCGACTCATTTTGCCGGCTGGTGGGTCCCACATACTCCTACTACCCCCCGGGGCTTTTTAGAAAGACAGGGGGCCCGATGGACTCAGAACAAACAGGCAGGTTTTCAGCGAGGAGACCAGACGCAAAAGGGAAAAACGGGGGGAAAGAAAGCCGGAGAGTGGAAGAAACGCACACCCGCCCCCACCCCCGGAGGTTAGAAAGTCTGGGGCGAAAAGTAGCTCGACCGGTTTCTCCCGTCCAATTCTCTCTCTCTCTCTCTCTCTCTCTTGCTCGCTTTTCTTTTTCCTCTGATGACTCAGCCCCAAATTCCTCTGCTTTACACACCCCACTCCCCTGGTTGCTGAATGACGGTTGCAAATCAAGGACTATTTGTCTGTGTCTGTCTATACCTATCATCTATCTATCTATCTATCATCTATCTATCTATCTATCTATCTATCTATCATCTATCTATCTATCTATCTATCTATCTATCTATCTCTCTCTCATCTATCTTTTCTGTGTTTGTCTATATCATCTATCATCCGTCCATCCATCCATCTATCTTTTGCAACCTTCTGACAATCAGAGTCAATGGGGAAGCCTGATTCACTTAACAACCGTGTTGCCGACTTAATCAACTGCAGTGATCCACTTAACGGCAGCAAGTAATGTTAACAACACGAACTTGGGCCTCCATTGGGATCATAAGTCAAGGACCACCTACCCCAGCTATTTCTAGGACCACAAACCCACCTTAATCCGCCAGCCCCAAGTCAAAGTGTCCGTCTTTCCAGCCAAAGGGCAAAAGGCAAAATCGGAAGAAAACGAGGCGCCTCCTTTTCTTTGAATTCTTTTCCGTCCATTGAGCCACCAGCTTTTGGTTCGCTTTTTGCTGCGGGAAATCATACATATTTCTGCTTACGCCTGTGAATGCGTTCCTGCTCTTTTCCATGGACTTTTACTTCAACTGTGAGAGGCAAATCTGCAAGTCATGCTGGGCCGAGCCAGAAACTTAGGCATTGTTTCTTGCTAACGGGAGAGGAAGAGAACGTATTGGAAAAAGGAGCAAAAATGTCTGTGTGTCTCTCTCTGTGTGTGTGTGTGTGTGTGTGTGTGTGTGTGTGTGTGTGTGTGTGTATTTTCCCCCCCCTGCAAGGTTTTGCAGCTTGATTTTCTTCTCTTTTGTGTGCTCGGCCCCACTTTGCAAGAAGCTGGCAGGGTGAAATGTGTTTTCCAGCCATTTGGAGAAGGAAGGCAGCGGCTTTTCGACATAATACCTGATATATTTTTTTCTTTCTTTCCTTCCCAGAGGTATTTTTAGCTGGGGGGCGGGGGGAACTTTTGTGAAATTCTTCTGTGCAGGAAGACACTGGGCCCTTTGTCCCAGGGAGAATGACGTGTGCTTGGACTGGAAGATGGATTTAAGGCTTCTCCTCCTGGGAGCAAACAATAATTTGGGGGAAAGGGTATAATTGGGGAAACTGGTCTGGCACCTCTGGTTTATGACCTTCGCCAAAGCAAACTCAACAGGTGGGAAGCTAAGGAGGATCGGCTCAGGCTCAGGTTTGGATGGGGGACGGCCCTAAAATACCACGGCTGTAGACTAGGCTAGGAAGTCAAAACAGGGTCCTGAGTCACAGCAGCGGAAGCTCCTCTTGACCTGTGGCCAAGCACAGGTAGTCCTCGAACTTACGGCCACAGTTTGAGCCCCAGATTTCCGTTGCTAAGCGAGATGGCTGTTAAGTGAATTTTGCCCCATTGTACGACCCTGCATGCCACCGTGGTTAAGTGAATCCCTGCAGTCGTTAAATTAGTACACTGTCGCTAAGTGAATCTGACTTTCCCATTGTCAAAAGGTCACCAAAAGGCATCACGTGACCCTGGGACACTGCGACCATCATGCACACAGGTAGTCCTCGACTTATAATGGTATAATGGTTCCCTTAGCAACTAGCGATAAACCCCACGTGTCCTTAGTTGCTCCAGAAAAGACCAAAAAAAAAAATTCTTTATTTGGCAAACAAGCCCCCACATTTAGCCACTCTTGGACGGGCTTCAGCATTTCTCATCTTCTTCCCACATTGATACAAGAAGCAGCTGCGAGTCATCAACGCAGGGTTGGAAACAAAACCAGATGGAAAATGACCAACTCCTTTTGGGTTTTTTTTTGCAAGCCTGGACCTTGGATTGCAGCCCATGGCTAATTGATCCCCCTCTGCAAAAATGAGCGTACTTCTGAACGATAGACGGTCTTCCCGGATCCCGTAATATTCTTTGGGTCTTTGGTAGGAAGTTGCCCCTGAGTTTTGGGGTACCTGCTGTCTGTGCATCCTGTGCAATTCTCCCCTGAATCTTAAAAGGCTTTTTGGATCGATGGTTTTATTAGCGAGGCTGATGGAGCTCTTCTCTACTGTCTTTGAGTCCCTGAGATCTGGATTAATCTGTCTCTGGCCATTCAGTTACTCTTGATCTCCACCTCTTGGCTCAATGGATTCATCACACCTGAACTATTGGGGTGGGGGTGGGGGTGGAGGAGACGAAATCGCAGTTTATTGGACTGGTTCTCTCATTCTCCATCATCCAGCAAGCTTTAAATACGGCTAAAGGAGAATATTTGTAGCTCCGGGTTGAAATGAGGGCTCCCTGGTGCTCTCTGAGCTTCCTTGGTTTTCTCGAAGATGTTTCATGACCCAACTAGGTAGCATCGTCAGTGCTAGAAGGGAGTGAGGAGGTGGAGGAGGAGGATTACGACTGTGGGGTCTGAGCTTGATGGTTTCCTGGAAGATGTTTCATGACCCAATGAGGTAGCAATGTCAGTGCTAGTGGGTAGAATGCTAATAAGCAACAAATCCCACACTCACTAGCACTGAAGATATTATCTAGTTGGGTCATGAAACGTCTGCAAGAAAACAACCAAGCTCAGAGATCATCAAGGACCCCACAGTCCTAGTCCTCCTCCTCCTCCTCCTCCTCCCTCCTAGCACTGATGATGTTGCCTAGTTTGGGTCACGAAACGTCTGCGAGGAAACCACCCAGCTCCCAGAGCACCAAGCCCCCCTCCGTAACCGTTTCCAAGCAGAATGAATCTTCCTCCATCATTTCTTGATCTAAAACACCCCCAACAAGATGGATGGTTTGCTCATCGGATGGCTGACCAAATATCTGACTTTTTCCTCTCTTTTTTGCTCTTCTGTTCTTCAGGGACGTTGACCACTGGCGAGCACACCTTTCCATTCCGTTTTTTGCTGCCAGGTACTTGGGACTTTTCTTCCTGTTCTCTGGTACAGGTTTGTGATTATCCTGCAACTCCACACTTCTCCCCTTAACTCTCCGCATGCGGCCTAGAGGTGGAGCTCTCGCCTTACCATCAGGAGGCTGTGAGTTCGATCCTGGATCTCTCTGGGCACAATGAGAATGAAATAATTACTCTAAACCCCAGTCTGAAGTTGGATCATTGCTTGGTCTTCTTTCTTTCTTTCTTTCTTTCTTTCTTTCTTTCTTTCTTTCTTTCTTTCTTTCTTTCTTTCCCCTTTCCTTTCTCCCTCTCTCCCTTTCTCTTCCCATCTCCTTCCTTCCTTCCTTCCTTCCTTCCTTCCTTCCTTCCTTCCTTCCTTCCTTCCTTCCTTCCTTCCTTCCTTCCTTC